TTCTACCAAGTTCGATTTATGTAACATCTTCCCCTAGAGGCCAAGTTGGATACAGCAGGTAATCTTGGTCTTGAGGAAGCCTTGAAATTCTAAAACAGAATGAAGAGGGATTTTCCTCCACAGTTAATAAGACAAAGTATAATGCTATGCTAATTGAAAAAGCATGTTACTATAAAAGTCCAGATAGAGAGATCAATGGAATGGAATAGAAAGTTCAAACGTACAAATTACTTATGGAAATTTAGTTATAATAAAAATGAGGAAAAGATAAATTAAAAAATTAAATGTGCCTTCAGAAATGGAGAGTGATTTAGAAATTAATAAATAAATATGGATGTCTACTTTATTTTTTTTTTATTTTTTTTCAACATTTATTTATTTTTGGGACAGAGAGAGACAGAGCATGAACGGGGGAGGGGCAGAGAGAGAGGGAGACACAGAATCGGAAACAGGCTCCAGGCTCTGAGCCATCAGCCCAGAGCCTGACGCGGGGCTCAAACTCACGGACCGCGAGATCTTGACCTGGCTGAAGTCGGACGCTTAACTGACTGCGCCACCCAGGCGCCCCTATGGATGTCTACTTTAATATCTGTTACAAAATAAATTCCAAGTGAAAGAATATTCAATATTTTAAAATAAAAGATAAGTTATTTTGTACAAATTTAGGATGATCATAGATTGTTTAAGCGTGACAGTCAGAAAGCATAAGAGATAAATTACATTTCATAGAAATTTAAACTTCTCTACAAGTATGCTAATGAAATGTTTAAACATTACCAGATCAAGTTATTTTCCATCCGGCATCATTGATTCTGACCTTCTCCAGACCACAAAATGGCCCTTTAGAATTTTAGTTCTACAAGGTTTTTTTTTTTTGTTTTTTTTTTTAACTGGCCATTAACAAAGGAACAACCATTTGGTCTAGAAAGAAGGCAATTCTAGAAAGATGGTAGATTGAAAATGTCCTTGTTCGCCTGTGCTTAGACAAGGAGCCTCTGTGGTGGCCAGGCAGGCTACTCCAAGAGAGCTCAAGCGAGCAACCCTATTTGGGGTCACATATACATCTGGAATCAGGTATCAGGGAACTCCAGGATAAAGAGCAGAAAACTATGGGTTAAGAGAGGTTGGCCTACAGAGATCAGTAGACCTCTAAGAAGGAAACTATTCTCTTAAGAAAGCCTTTCCTTTAGCACCCAAATAGCTGAAAAGAAAGTAACAGGTAGGCTGACTCCCATCTGTCCTTAATGAAGAGGAGTACAAGGAGATCAGAGAGAAAAAAGTTTTTTTCCTTTTAGTTTTTCAGCAGAGTATTGACATTACTGCTGTATCAGTGCCTTGCCATCTGCTACATTGCTGACCATCGGCACAGAAACATCTAGGCTCTTCATTCTCATAGGATTGCCTCCACATATACTGCCCCAGTAACCAGACATGTCAAGAGGGGAGTAAAGAAAGGGAAAGGAAACCTCAGAGAGAAATTAAGGCCTCATCTGGGTCCACTATAGCCTGAAAAAATTATCAGGGTCAGTGACCCAGTTTCCTTAGCCAACCGTCAGGACATGTAGTTTGAAAAGTGATTGAGAATTCACTTATAAGAGAGCTCTATCAAAGAAAGGATACACCATTGAATGCATTGTTTATTTATTCAATCCCTGTAAAAGAGTAAATATAATTAAATGTAATTAGAATTCTGTAAGTCTCAGACTTGTGGTCATGATGAACAAATACAATGTCTCCAACAAGACTTGGGTTGATGGAAAAAACAGAACGTGTATATCATGGCCACCCTGACCTTGTTTCTATCTCCCTTCTTCTCCTATCCAATGCTTTCCCCATATACTTGCAGGAACACCTGGCTGATTCTGCTCTGTGACTATGAAGTTTTGAAATTCAAATAATGATGTCCAATTTCTTTCTCCCCAGTCTCTCTTCTCTTCACTCCCTTTTCCCCTCTCTACCTATGTTCATTATGTTTCTACCATTTCACCTTCTCATCTCCTTTTTCCCTGTTTTTCTAATCTCAGAAGAGATATAATAGAAGGTAGAAATCATTAGAATAATTGTGAAGTGAAAGTAAAGGTTCATACTTTAGCATTTTTAATCATAAACACCAAAACTGTAAATAGGCAATGCAGAGGTTTTCTCCTAGAGCTTCCAGCTTTCCCATTGCTCTAGCTGATGCTCATTTCTGCTTGCGAGTCATTTCTGTCACACTCCTCACAGCAGCTCTCCCTGTTCTTACAGGATATGACTAATCCAGATGCTCCCCTAACTGCTGCTAGCCCTCATTCAAATTTTCACTAACTTTCAGCAGTGGAGAAGAGTTGCTCGCTTAGAGCAAAGCCTAGAGTACCCCCTACTGGTCGAAAACCATTACACCAACCAGCTCATCAATAGTCACCAGAACCCCAGAGCCCTCATTCCATTCTTTCCTGACGACCATCCACAGATTAGCAGGAGCAAAAGAACTGCCAGGTTTGGATGAGGATTTTTTTTTAAGTAAACTGGTTTCTTTGTCAAAATGCCATTTAATGAAGGTTACTATCTTAAAATGTTTTGTCAAATTGTGCCAAACCTTCGTGCCAAAGGTTGTATGTAATTTCTCCAATCTATTTCAGAGGAAGTCCACAGCAATTGATTGAAGGTCTTCTATAATAAACTAGATCTTGTGCTAAGTCTTAGGAAATTAAAAAAATGAATAAAACATTGTCACTACTCATAAGACATTGTGGTATAGCAGGAAAGACAAACATGAAAGAGTGAGTATTCATATCCAAATAGCATCGCAAAAAAAGTACAAAGTGAACCCCAAAATAAGGAGATATTTCTTGTAACAGAAGACAGTTAGACAAAGATTTAATAAGAACATGATTATTTTGTCCTTTTCCCAGGAAAGATAGAAAGAAATGTTTTCAAGAGATGAAGTAGAGCTATTACCTTGGAAGTGGAATAGAGATACCTCCCAGATGAAAATAAAAGAGGGGAGAGATGGGGCACCTGGCTGGTTGGGTTGGTGGAGCATGTGACTCTTAATCTCAGGGTTGTATGTTTGAACCCCATGTTGGGTGTAGAGGTTACTTAGAAATAAAATCTTGGGGTGGCTGGGTGCCTCAGTCATTTGGGCAGACATAGAATTCAGTCACGGCTCAGGTCATGATCTCGTGGTTTGTGAGTTCCAGCCCCATATCAGGCTCTGTGCTGACAGCTCAGAGCCCAGAGCCTGCTTCAGATTCTGTGTCTCCCCCTCTCTCTGCTCCTCCCCCGCTTTTACTCTGTCTCTCTAAGAAATAAAATGAAAACATAAAAAAAAAAAATTAAAAAAAAAAAGAATGACCTAAAATAGGTTCACTGGTTCTGTGTAACACAGATTGGAAATCTAGGTATCATGATGTCTAATTTACTATAAAATATCTCAGTGTTGTAAAATATCTCGGATATTATATATGTGCTAGAAGTTAAGCTTCAAATCCATGTTGAGACTCTATATTGCATTGATTAAGAGCCTATGCTGTACATTTGCCCTAGTTGAGAATATATGTGGCACAGCTTGTCAGCTAACATTATAACCAAGTACAGTAAAAACTTGGATTGCAAGTCACTTGTTCTGTGCGTGTTCTGCAAGACGAGCAAACATTTCTAATAAGTTTTAACTTTATAAGTAAATGATGTCTTGCAATATGAGTAGTATGTGACACCAAACGTCACGTGATCACAACTGAGCCAATGGTTCTCTCTCTCTCTCTCTCTCTCTCGCTCTCGCTCTCTCTCTCTCTCGCTGCAGGATTCTGGGTCATCATCTCCCATGCTCGGATGCTCAGTCTCAGGCTGTGATGTTTGGCAGAAATCAGTGACTTTTCAGAAGGTTGGAAGATGCCCACAACTGGCACTAGTGTATTTTTGTTGTTATTGTTGATACTTCAAAGCACCTATGGGCAGTAGGAAAAGTAGCACTTTTCCATACAAGAGTGAGCTTAGGAATGCTGCACTTCATTCTAGGTCAGGCTGCCTGCAGATAGAGACCCTTTCCTCTGCTGCCTCATTGCTAGTTACATCAAACACAGTATATGACAAGAGTTTAATAATTAGTACTGTGGTCACCATCCGTGCGATGGTATACAATGACCCCCATGCAGAAAAAGGTTGAAAAGAAAGGCAGTAAGAAGAAGGAGATGATTACAGTGGAAGTTAGGAAGGAAATCACCAAGAAGTATAAATGAGGTATGCAAGTGGCCAAAATTGCAAGATTTTATAAGAAGTCTTCTTTTTGCATCTCATGTGGAGGAGAAGGAGAAAAAGGCGGAGGAATCCCTCACTTCAAATGAGATTAGGGAGATGTGTAAAAAATTGGAAACAGTGCAAAATTTTGTAGAAAATCGCCACCTGAATAAGACTGTTGCAGTGCGAGCAGTCAGTCTGTTTAACGACGATGCAGTGTCACATTTCTGTGAAGTCCTCAAAAGGAGGCAAAAGCAAGTGTCGTTGGATAGGTTCCTTGTTAAATTTGCAAGAAAAGAAAAAGATTCCATTGAGCCAATAGATAGCAGTGATTCCGTTAGTGATAGTGCAAGTCATCCTACACACTAACCCTCCTCTCTCTGGTCTCCCTCACACCAGCCACGAAGGTTTTCAAAGGTAAGTCCTGGTTAATTTGTTTATTTTTCTTTAAATTTTGTATTTTCTTTATTATTTTGTATTATATTACAGTATTGTGTTCATTTTTATATGAATATTTTTGGGTTGTGGAACAAATCATCTGAGTTTCCATTATTTCTTATGGGGAAATTCGCTTTGATATACAAGTGTTTTGGATTACAAGCATGTTTCCAGAACGAATTATCCTCACAAACCAAGGTTTTACTATACTTCGGCTTTCCACATGTAGATCAACACCTGAGGCAATGTTAGCTAGAAATGATTTGTTTAAATAAAAAAGGCTCTTGCCTTTTTCACTTCAGAACTCTGGCACTTTATGATGTACTCTGAGTGAGAGCGGAGTAGGGAATGAGTGGGAGGCGTCCCTCCTGGAGAAATTCATCAGAAGACTTCCATCTGGAACAAAGTCTATCTGAATGTGGCACAGCATTGCTGTTGAAGCAACGATTCAGGCGGCAAGCACTCCCCAGAGCCCAGCCTGTCCTGCAGTCTTTGCCCTCACAGAAAAACAGACCTTCCTGAAGACTCTCTCTTGAGTTCTTGAGTCATGAAAAGTCCCAATGTCTCGGGAGGTTTGTGTTCAGCTCCCCCTGTGGACCCAGGCACCGTGTCACTCACAGCGCAGAAGTACTTGGCCGCGTCACTACCAAGGGCTGGGGATTTCTTCAGGTGGAAAGAGGTTTCACTCTTCTTAAATTCAGCCTCGAAACTGTTGATGCCTTTAACCAGGGTGTCCCCTGATCTGTACTTGAGGAGAAGCTGGAGTCCTTGGTTGGGGTACTGCACGTACCAGAAGACATAAGTCGTTCCACTAGAGGAATAGTTGCACTTCAGCTCCAGATGGGCTCCTTCAGAGACCAACACCTGGGCATCAGGCTGAGTCACTGACTGGGCTCCAGTTCCTCCTGAAACATCAATGCTGAGTCAGTGAGACCAGGACAGACCTACCTATTAAGAGAAGGTGTCTTCATTCTGCATCCCATCACTTTTGTGCAAAGAAGGAAAGGGAATGTTACTCATTTAGGGCAAAAATCACGTCAAGCCCTGAGATGGGCAGGAGGAGCATGGCTGAGCAGTGGAGACACTGTAGGCTTTCAGAGCAAGAGGAGTGGGGAGGTTGGGCCGTATAGGTCCCTTGCTTTGACAAGTTTCAAAAACTGTTAGAAGGAGTCTTCCTCCCTTTTTTTTTCCCCTAGCCTCTTGTCACAGACTCCTCTTTGCACAGACATCAGTGAGGGTCCCTCAGCCAGCTGCAGGGAGGAGGGGCTGAGTAGCTGGTGAGGACCTACAACCACAACAAGTGCCTCATTTGTGTGACGTCGCCCACTGCCTCCAGGGGCAGGACCAAAAGTCCAAGAGAGCTAGCTGTCTTCTGTTCTCATCTCAGAGACATGACCACCAAAACTTCAAAAGAAAACGTTTCTTCCTCCCTGAATCTGTGATGATGTCACCTTCTGAGGTACATGGTGTTAATCTTAAAATAAGGGAGAAATGGGAGCTTTGTTAAAATAGAAGAGTCATTTCCTTCACTGAGAAATTAGTCACAGAAGACAATATTTTAGACTTTGGAATACCATCGAGAGACTTTACGTTACTTTTTAAAGCCATTCATTAGGCGGAAAGACTAAAATCAGTTGTGTCAGCTGAGCTGAGCTTCATATGGCCTCATGCTGCTGGCTGTGAGCATCAGAGTGGGGGAAAGAGATGATTCCTTTATTTGGTACTGAAAGGAAAAAAAAATTAGACCAGAGACTTATAGGTAAAATCATCCTGGAACCGGTGGCATTATCTAATCAAGGCCAACTAGTAAAGGCGATGATTTTCTTTGTCAAGGAGAAAGTCTGAAGAAGACTCCTTGGTGAATACGTTTGATATTTGTTTAGGCTATAAGAAAATAGCTAGGGCACCACATTATTTAAGTGGAAAAAGTGAGAGTTCTGTTCCAATTGTCAATGGTCAGAATAGACTGACATAGGGGCGCCTGGGTGGCGCAGTCGGTTAAGCGTCCGACTTCAGCCAGGTCACGATCTCGCGGTCCGTGAGTTCGAGCCCCGCGTCCGGCTCTGGGCTGATGGCTCAGAGCCTGGAGCCTGTTTCCGATTCTGTGTCTTCCTCTCTGTCTGCCCCTCCCCCGTTCATGCTCTGTCTCTCTCTGTGCCAAAAATAAATAAACGTTGAAAAAAAAAATTAAAAAAAAAAAAAAAAAAAGAATAGACTGACATAGTATGCCAAATTAAGGCTACCTCACCCTGGAAAGAACATTAACAAAGGAGCATTTGCAGAGAAGTGAGCAGAACTATAAATGTAAGGAAAATATGACATTAAGTAAGTGATTCTGGAAGGAATTAAAGAGAGAGGGGAAAAAGTGAATCCATTTGAACTCAATAAAGCTGGAAGGAGTGCAGCCAGCTGACTGGAAACGAGAGGAACGTCCTGCAGGGAAGGAGCGTATAGAAGCCATGGAAGTAAAGTGTCAGGAACACTCGCCATAGCAAAGCAACACAGTCCCACACAGCTGGGACAGGACCTATCAAACAGGGGAAGTGTGTTCTATGCTCTAATAGTAAAACGAAACTCTGAAAGGAGAAGACTTCCCTACTCAACTTATTTTAGACCACTGAAACTTTAAAACTGAAGAAGCTAGGGAGACACATCTCAGGTGAAATGAGAATCTGGTCAACAGAGCCCTTTTCAGAATGTCAGAAGGACAACTCACTCCTTTCTGAATACTCTGTTGACCTGCACCAGCCTGAAATCAGAAGCCTCTGTCTTCTGATTTACTTCTTGACCCTGCCTATAGATTTCTTTCACACACGAGACCAAATCACATTGAAATTTTAAATGTGGCTGGGGTGTGCTTCTGATTCGAAATATCTGATAACTGTATATACTCTCCTCCCTTCTCCCCCAAATCATCACTGAAATGAATTTAGAAACAAACAGGATGAACTTAGATCCATAATGGGAAAATAAGAAAAAGACAAAAGCTGTCAATAATCCCATTACATCCCAATAGATGTAATCACAGTGATGAGGGAGACAGACAGGGGAAAAGAACACCCCAGAATGAACCATGAGAAGATGTCAGCAGAAATGTGAGTGAAGGAAATTTACTTCTGGGGCGCCTGGGTGGCTCAGTGGGTTAAGCGTCCAACTTTGGCTCAGGTCATGATCTTGCGGTTTGTGAGTTCGAGCCCCACATCAGGCTCTGTGCTGATAGCTCAGAGCCTGGAGCCTGCTTCGGATTCTGTGTCTCCCTCTATCTGCCCCTCCTCCTCTCTCTCTCTCTCTCTCTCTCTCTCTGTGCCTCTCAAAAATAAATAAACATTAAAAAAAATTTTTTTTTAAAAGGAAATTTACTTCTTAGGACCCTGAAGATGCTCTGAGCTGAAAAAGAGCATGATGGGGGCAGGAGGGACAGAACACAGGGGACAAAGTTAATGTCCCCTGAAGGTCACTGAAAGGCAATGTGTGGATTAGCTATGTTCATCTCCCTCTATATGCTCTATCCAGCTACTGCGTTTACATGTGAGAAGCATGGTAATATACACATACATAATAATTATATATTATATGTAGTAATAATCATATATTATGATTAGTAATATATCTAGTAATATATATTACTATGTTTCTGACACATAAATATATATATTATATATAACATATTATATATATAATCTCATTTCATCCTGAAATATGTATGGTAGAAATATAGTAATATGGGTCTAAGATCAAATGGCCCACTGATAACATAAAAGATATTCAAACTGACACCACAGAGCAAGTTCTTTCCAGGGTGCCATGACATCAGAAGACACGTGATACAGGTGAAACTAGAATTCAAATATCTTGATTCCAACACAACTTCCTGCTCTTTCTCAGTGCTTTTCAAATCTGTCTTCCATGACTCAGAAATATTTGTGATGAGTCTTCAGTCCAAAGATTGAGAAGCTGAAACAAATTCTGACTCTGTTACATCCTCTTAGCCAGTGAGTATGTGAACAGCAATCTGAACTGGCCATTTCTGGGTCTTCCCACCTTTTGGACTACATAAACAATGCCCTGTCTAAAAGATCACATCTTCAGCTTTATGATAAATGTGACTTTTACACTTTTCCCCTGTAATTGTAACATCTGTCACAAAGCCTTATTTCTATCAGGCCACAGATTTTTTCCTGGACTTGGACATAAGTTGTAGGACAATTCCAAAGTGCCAAGGAGTCAGGGGAGGGAGGTCTTCATATGATTTTTGGTGTTATCCACTTTCCTCCCAACATGTTCTAAGACATCTTCAATACCATATTATTTGTTTCTTTAATGTTTATTTTATTCTTGAGAGGAGGGGGAAGGAACAGACAGAGAAGGAGACACAGAATCTGAAGCAGGCTCCAGGCTCTGAGCTGTCAGTACAGAGCCCGATGCGGGGCTCGAACTCATGAACCGCGAGGTCATGACCTGAGCCCAAGTCAGACACTTAATCGACTGAGCCACCCAGGTGTCCCCTTCAATACCATATATTTTTGATAATTAATCCATGCAGGCCTTTAATCACCATAACAAAACTCCTCAGTGTCTAGAATCCTTTTAGGTGCTTGCTCAGAGATCCTTCTCATGAAATCTGAAGCCATTCTGGGCTTCCTTGTCCTGCCTGTGTGTCTGGGACATTCTATGGTTATGGCTAATGCTCTTAATTCCCATTTGCATCTAGACAGCAAACAGAATTTCTCTACCCTGCAGCCTAGGCTCTACATCAGGCATTGCTGGGGTCCTAGCGGGTTTGGGTACAGACAGCAGGTGCCAGGGGAGCACTGTGTGCTCACTGCACAGAGGTAGGTAGCTGAGTCGCTGAGCTGGGAATCTCTGATGAACAGGGAGAGATATCGGCTTGCTTTATTGAGCAGCCCTGTAAATCTTCCTTCTTCTTTTTCACCATTGGAGTACATGTACATCAGAAACTCGGGGCCCTTCCCAGAATACTGTCTGTACCACACGAAGTACTGGGAAGCACTGTCACTATAACTGCAGTTGAGAAAGGCAGTGACTCCCTCCAGAACAGTCAGAGGTACAGGACTCTGCTTCACTTCATTCTGGTGACTTCTCCTCATCCCTGTGCAAAAAGACAGCAGTCAGTCAAAGCAGATCCATTGGGTAGTGGATGCTTAGTCTTCAGAATTTAAATGATTTTTTACAGGCCTTCCACCTCTACCCTCCCTGAGGTAGAAACATTCATGTTTCTACCTACAGGCCCAGAATACATGATAACTCCAAATATTGTACTTTATATTCCCATAGAGATGCCCAAAACTCACAGGTTAACTGAAGCCACAGGATCACTAGGAAAATTCTTGAGCCCTCCATTATTCTTTCTTCCCCTGGTTCATTGAGGACTCAAATTTTAAGCCCTAAAAAAAAATGAGTCTAACTCAGACATTTCTAGTTGTTCTGCTTTAGGAATCATAGAAGAAATTCATTCTACCAATTGGAAGAAAAGTCTTTTTCACCGCCCCTGCTACACCAGCAAGCCCCACCTCTTGTCTCCTTCTCTCTCTCTCTCTCTCTCTCTCTCTCTCTCTCTCTCTCTCTCTCACACACACACACACACACACACACACACACACACACACACACACACGAAAACTTGAGAGCTTTCCTCAGTCCCTGAGAAAACACTGCCATCTTGTGGACTCATGATAGTGATCCAAAAGATGTCCAAAATGTAGACCCTTGTTCTATGAACTGGTAACCGTAAAAATCTGCCACTGTAATAAAGTTAAAAGTTTAAGAATCATATGGCCCAAGTCAGCATGTGTGGGGAGAGGGAGATGTGTATGTGTACGTGTTTTACGTCAAATGGCAACACTTGTCTGAGCAAAGGCACTTACAGAAAACAACCACCTTCCTGCACTGAAAAAGCAGTCACAGAGTATTCTGTTTTAGAAGTCCGGTGAGGTTCTTGTGGATTCAAGGAGCGTTTCAAATGGTGTAGCTCTTCTCCACATCAAGCCAGACACTGCCTATCTCATTCCCTCACCTCCAATTTTGAAAGAAATTGATTCTAACTCAAAAGAATCCTTTCGAGGCCAAACAGCCTAAAATCTGACCAAATAAACACGTTTCCAGCTCAAAACTGGGGCAATATTTTTTAACAAGGCTGAGGGTTAGAGAAACTAGGGATTCTTCATGCTGTTTTTGCACCAGGGCACGTGTGTGTCAAAACAGTGCTTATTTAGGCTATCACCACTACTGCTACAACAACAAAAGGGATGGGGCCGCCTTCACTATCTAGACTGTGAATAAAATCTAGTGTGTACCTACCCTTTTGTCTAATTTCTCTTATTCCCTTTTCTTGCAGAAAGCCCCAGGATCTAGGGATTAATCTCCACAAGTTATGGATCTGCTCTTGCTCTCTCTGTCTCTCCATCCCACCCTCGCCAGCAAAACCACATTTATCAGAGGGCAGGC